ATTTGACACCACAGGATTACCAAGCTTGAATAGCCACACTACTTATGCTGTGGCACCAATTATTTGGACCAGTCATATGAAGAAACTTTTTAGAAAGCTGAAAGTACACCAAAAGCCTTTGATTTGCTCCCCAGAAATAAAAAAAAAAAAGTGATTTTCCCTTTCAAATGACTTGTTATCAGCAAATATTTACACTAATACTGATAACCAAATAGTTTAACTACTCGAACTTTAAGTGACAATTCCAGCATGATTAGAATCTGTAGATAAGGAAATGAATAACAGGCATATTGACTGTATGCTTGTATGCATTTATGTTTGAAAGGATGATGGGTATTCATTCATCCAATAAGCATTTATGGAATTCCCCTATGTGCTAGACAATTTTGAGCTGGGGATGAAAAAGTGATAAGACATGGTTCTTTCCCAGAAGATATCCCCAATCTAATTGACAGTATAAATGTGTAAATAAGTACAGTGCTCTGTAAGAAGTTATGGAACAGAGGTATTAGTGTATATAACATGAAAGGGAAGAGAGTGTAAGTAATGGGCCTAGAAATAAGGAACAATAGATTTATAGCTTTCACAAGCACCCCAGATGAATATAGAAGGCTTATATGTGAAATAGCAAAAGAAAAGAATACAACTATATAAATGAGCACACATACAGAAAAGAATCTACAAATTTGAGAAAAATGAGATTTCTAAAACGTAAAGTTAAATGGTTGAAACCTGAAGCAGTATAATCAGAATTACAGAAGAAGGGGATGTTTAGCAACATTCTGACCTCCATCCACTAGATGCCAGTGGCAACTACTCCTCCCCTCAGCTGTGAAAATCGATAGTGTCTCTAAACATTGACAAGTGTGTCTGGGGGACACAATCACCAAGGTTGAGAGCCACTGCCATAAAGAACATATGAGAAACAAAAAGTACTGGCCTATTTCACTCATAGTTGTGGATACAACATCCTAAACAAAATAATAGAGAATTGACTTTAATAGCAAATAAAATGATGATACCAGTCAGATTATTTTCTGAAATGCAATTATAGTTGCATATTTGAAAATCTATAAAAATAATCACTCACGCTAGCAAATGAAAGAAGAAATTTACATCCTTTCAATAGAAAAACATATATACATATACATACAAATATGCACATATATAGATCTATAGATAGATCTATGTTTATATATATGTGCGTGTGTGTGTGTGTATGCGTGTGTGTATGAACCAGTAGTTTCCAATGTTTTTGGCACCGGGGACCGGTTTTGTGGAAGACAATTTTTCCACAGACCGGGGTAAGGGGGATGGTTTTAGGATGATTTAGGTGCATTACATTTACTGTGCACTTTATTTCTATTATTATTACATTGTGATAAGTAATGATTATACAACTCAACATAATGTAGAATCAGTGGGAGCCCTGAGCTTGTTTTCCTGCAACTAGACAGTCCCATCTCGGGGTGATGGGAGACAGTGACAGATTATCAAGCATTGGTTCTTGTAAGGAACACACAGTCTAGTTCCCTTGCATGTGCAGTTCACAGTAGGGTTTGCATTTCTATGAGACCTAATACCATGGCTGATCTGACAGGAAGTGGAGCTCAGGTGGTGATGTGAGTGATGGGGAGGAACTGTAAACACAGATGAAGCTTTGCTCACTCACCCGCCACTCACCTCCTGCTGTGTGGCCCAGTTCCTAACAGACCATGGAGCAGCTCTGATCTGTGGCCCAAGGTTTGGGGATCCTTGACACACACTATGTGCACATTTGAATATCCCCCACAGCATCCAGTGGAAGGCATTTTTTCCCTTCGTTTGTTTATTTAATCTATATCTTGTAAGAATCAATCTGCATGTGAATCAGAAAACATTCTTTAGATTCAGTGCTATGCCTGAAAGAAGGGGATACCAGTGAAATTTAGCTAATCAAGAGCCTTCAAGTTTGTGCCTCTTTAGAGGAAAAGTTAAAGAGTAAGATTAACTAACAAGATTGTTTATAAATGTTTAAATTCCATCCACTTAAGGGCAGACTCTAGATTTATTATTTATTTATTTATTATTTTAGAGACAGGGTCTCACTCTGTTGTCCAGGCTGAGTGCAGTGGTGTGATCGCAGCTCACTGAAGCCTTGAACTCCTAGACTCAAGTGATTCACCTGCCCCGGCCTCCCAAAGTGCTGGGATTATAGGTGTGAGCCACCATGCCCAGCCTAGATTTATTTAAATAGTACAACAAATGCCCATTAAAATGCCGGTCTCTATATTTTAAAAGGCAATTCAAATAAGTTAAATTCAATTTATATTAATGCAAAGTAAAAGCATTTAAAAATGACTATTTAATTCAATGCTGTAGCATTCAACTAAATGGCCTTTGAAACCAACTGACCTCTACTGTTACCAGCCAGTAAATAAACATGAATGACTCATTACTACACTCACATGAATGTTCATTTGCAATGGCTTTAGAATGCACTGGATATCAAAATGATCTTTATTATATTTTATTTAATCATGTACATTAATAAACCTGAGATGACTGTATGTTCAACAATCAAGCAAGCTGAATCTCTAGCAGTACCATCTCTAGCAAATAGTCATTTAAGGAAATGAAAAGAAAAAATGATTCTAACATCAATGAGACTGAGAGAACAGGTTCTTTGCAGGTGAGCTGCTCTACTCCATACCACCATCCCCAGTCCTGGGCAACTAGGAAGTCAATGTTACCTCATTATATCACACACTGGATTCTTGATTATCATCCTCTTGATTCTAAATCTATTGTTCCTTATTTCTAGGCCCATTAGTTACACTCTCTTCCCTTTCATGTTATATACACTAATACCTCTGTTCCATAACTTCTTACACAGCACTGTACTTATTTACACATTTGTACTGTCAATTAGATTGGGGATATTTTCTGGGAAAGAATCATGTCTTATCATACGAACACTGATCTTAATTGTATTCAGTTTGTACAAATGGACTCAGCAAAATGAAACCATGGAAATCATTTCTCTAAATACCTTGTCACTTATATGAGTGACCATGAGTAACTAACTTCAGTTAAAATAGGAGATAAGTGAAAGTAAATGAACTAGTGGATGCAAAGTCTAACATGCCTTGTTAGCCTAATAGCTATTATAAAAATAATTATTATACCTAACAATGGCGAATTGCTGTGATAGGTACTTCAAATATATCTATAATAATGACAATGATGATACAGCAATAATAATACTTAGTCAAAGAGAAATACATAGCTTGTTGCCTGTCAGGTGAAGGGAGGGCTCATGGCAAACACTATTCCCATAGTACAGACCATGTTGTCTTCAGTGGTCATCATCCCACTTTTACCTTGAACACAATGCAGTCCTTAACCCTTCTTCTGAGATTGAGTCAGTACTGGGATCACCATTGCCAAATAATTTCATTGAGAAATAGAGACTATTGCACTTGAATGAAAAAAAAGAGCCTGGGTGAAATTAGGGTTTGCCTTTGTGAATTTACACTTTTCTAGACAGAGGATGCTTCTTGGGATGAACCCTGTCCCAGGAAGGTCCAGACATAGTTGCCTTTAAACATCTTCTGCCTCTCCAGCCCTTCCTATTGCTGCCTGCACAAGCCCTGCTGGGAGGGAATGATAAAGTGAAACTGACACATTTTCCAACCTATTCACACCTACAATTTTGTCTTGCCTTTGGTAGTCTCGATGAAACCTACAGCCCTAACCTTAGGTGTCTTCAGTGGGGATATTTTTTGTTTGTTTTGTTTTCTCTTACCAACTTATTCCTATATGCCCCATCAGGAACTAACTTTGAAGGGGAAAAAAAAAGAATGTAATTTTTTAAGATCAATAATAGAACATTAGAATAAATGCTTTTCAACTGTCATCTTAAAACAAACAAAGATGCCTGACTATATAAAATTCTCAGGCATTTTAGTAATATGGCCAGATAGAAAAAATTCAGAAAGGACAGTTATAAGGCATGGTAATAGTGATTCTTTTAATCTATTATGTTCCCTTTCAGAAATTAAAAGAAGGAAGCAATCTCTGTCCCCTATTACATTCCCAATATAGGCAGCAACTAAGTTCATAAATGAGAGTACCACTTATAGTTATCATTTGAGCACCACCCTTTATGCTAAGTGCTTTAGATGCATTATCTTATTTAATTCTCACAGCAACTTTTGTGGTTTAGACACCACCATTATTCTAAATATTACCAATGAAGGAAGAGTCTTAGCAAAATAAAATAACTTGCCCATGTTAACACAACTCATAAGTGACAGAGCTAGGTCTCAAACACACGTGCCTTTGAATCCAATGCACTTACCCGCATGCTATAATGCCTTAAAACACCACTTTGTAAGGCTTGGGCTTATGTTTCAATCTTTGCTTCTAATCAGTGAGCTCCTTCAGGACATAATTTATTTCTCATTAATTTTTATATCTCCAGAGCACGGAATAATGCCTGATACAGAGCAGGAACTCAATGATTGTCAAATGAATAAAATGCTGAATTAATAAATAAATAAAGGAAGGAATTAATTTTAAAAGGAAACAGAAAATTGAGGTGTGCAAAAAGCTAATTCTATACCAAGAATATTATTCCTGTGGTTAGTTTTGTGCCCCTCCATTTGCATTGTAGCAACATATGAGTATTTTATAAGTATCATTTTTACTTTAGAATTAAATGAAATGCTTTAAAAAATATGTATTTTACTCAGGGAATTAAATGAATGATTGAAATTCCATAATCAGAACGTGACACAACCAAACCAGCGTATAATCATATGTTTCCCATAATAAGCTACTTGAAATGTTCTTAGGGTTACAATATTGTAATCTAGACATGAGAGGAAGATCTGTGCTCTCGACAACATTCAACACAGGCACTTCAACCGGCTCTGGATAAAAGACAAACCTCCTCTTTTGCATTACATAGATGTTCTCTCTTTCCTTATCAGTAAGTAGACAGTCTTAACTGTTACCTTCACATCCTTTGCCATCTTCCTTCAGCTTCTGGTCAGCTTGACATTTGCAGTAATAACAGCCAACTGTATTACAGCATCGATCTTGACAGCCACCATTGTCAATGGTACATTCATTTACATCTGTAAGTGAATAGTGAAACAGAATTAGCCTCCTGTAACTAGACATACAAAAAGAAACTTTGGTGGCTCTCTGTTAAAAATGAACCATCACAGAATGACATCATTATTTAACCTTGGATTAAATGAAATAAAACAATATTTCATTTTAATTAGAATGAATACACTCTAATTTTGATGTGAAGAAAGAGACAAGTCATAATTTTGGCATCTGAAATACTACTTTTGAACAATAAACTAAGGTATTTTCTAGTCTTATGGATTTGGGAAGCTTATGGTACAGACCCAGAAATTTCACACACAATCTTTTGAGGATGAAATTGAGAACAATGAGAGAAACTAAACTAAGATCAGGACACTAGGCCACCTCCTTACCTATTAAATATGTTGTTATTGGCTTCTCAAATAATAATTACTCACCACTATATATATGCCATTGTAGTGGACAGTGTGAGAAAGGTAAAAGGGTATTTCCATGGTTTCCGAAGTTTAAAATGTAGCTGGAGTTGAGGACTAAACAAAAATGTGATTTGGTTGAGTCCATATACAGGATATGCCCATAGACCACTCCTAAACCCATGGCCATAAGTCATCTTTACAGACAGGGTTCAATTTTATGTATTTATCCAATCCAGTTAACAATTGGCAAGTATTCCAATCCATCTTCAAGTTTGATAGTGGCCTGTGAGGTGGCTTGATTTACAGTTCTGCTCAAATGAGGTACCTCTTCTGCATGTTGACTAGTTGATTTGATAGGTCCTTGCCTCATGAGATGAGTGTGGCTTGAAGAGGGGATGGAGTGGACAAGGAGGAGGTATGGAGGGGCAGGGAAAAATGGGAGAAAGAGGAAGAGGGAGACAGAGGGAGACAGAGAGAGACAGGGAAAGGAGAGGAGAAGAGTTTGGTCAGGAACAGCAGAAGAAGTAAAGTAGAAGCATAGGCAAAGTCTCACCGAAGTGTGGATCTATCACAGCAGAAAACAATTGATACTGAAAGACCAATCAGGTAATAGGCAGAGTGAGAAACAATGCATCTTGACTGAATGTAACTGATTTTGTCTGATTCCCTTGCAGTGCAACTTTCACTGTTTTGTTTAAGTTAACTTTTCATTCAAGTGTGTCTGGCTTCTCTCATTCAGCATTGTTTAGAAGATACATCTATTTTGTTGCATACACTTGTAGATCACACATTCTTATTCCTGTACATTGTTCCCTTCTATGAATATACCACAATATTCATTTCACAGAAGATGAGCATTTAACTGTTTTCTTATTTTTGGCTTTTGTGAAGAGTGCTGCTATGAACATTCTCATAGATGTCTTCAATGAGCTTACCAATGCATTTCTGTTGGGTAATACAGTTGACCCTTAAATAATATAGGTTTGAACTGTACAGGTCCACTTTATATGTGGATTTTTCTAAATACAGTCGGCCCTCTATATCAGCAGGTGGTGCATCCACAACCAAATGTGGAGTCAAAGTACAGTATTCACAGGATATGAAACCTGCATATGTGGAGGGCCTGCTTTTTATATACTCGAGTTCCACAGGGCCAGACACAGGACTTAAGTATCCACAGATTTTGGCATACACAGGTGTCCTGAAACCAACATACCCCTGCAGATACTGAGGAGCAGCTGTACATCTAAGAATGGATTTGCTGGGTCAAAAGGTCTGAGGTACTGTTTAGTATTTATAGATAAATGGTCTTCTTAAGAGGCTACTCTAATTTACACTCCCACCAGTGGAGTTCAGATGCCACTCATTCTTGCCAACATTTGGGATACACTGGTTTTTTTTAATTGATCTATTCTGGAAGTTTAATAATAGCATCAGGTTGTGATTCTAATTTGCATTTTCCCAGTGATTAATCAGGTTAAGAACATTCTCATGTTATTGGCCATTTGGATAACATCTTGTTGAAATGCTTGTTCAAATAGTTTTTCCATTTGTCCAATTCCTAAAATATTCATTATTGTACTTGTGGGTCCTCAAATAGGATGCTAAGAAAAAGTGGTGGCAATGGTTATCCTCTTCTTGCTTCAAATCTCAGGAGAGCTTTTAACAGTTCAAGGTAGGCATGACGGGTACTGTTGGGTAGGTAGGCATGACGGGTACTGTTGGGTAGATACAGATAGATATAGATAAATGTTCCTTTCTAATCCTAATTTCTTTCATATTTGATTCATAAATAGGTGTAAAGTTTTATCTACCACATTTTTTGAATCTATAAAGATAATTAGATGTTTTTTCTTATTCTGTTAACATGATAAATAACAGGATTGAATTTTGCATCTCTAAAATAAACCTGGTCATGATACACTACCTTTTTTTATACATGCCTGAGTTCACTTAGCTAATACTTCATTTGGAATTTTAAAGATATTTTTCATGAGACAGATTTGCCTGTACGTTTTCTTGTTGGTAAATAGTCTTCTTGATTTTGACACCCAGGTTGTACTCGATACATCAAAAAAAGTTAGAAGTGTTTCCTTCTTTTCTATTGCTGAAATAATCTGTGCAAGATTGGTATAATTTATTAATTAAATGTTTGAAAGAGCTCATTTATGACACTACCTAAGGCCTGGGATTGTGGGGTGCGTGCGTGTGTGTGTGTGTGTGTGTGTGGGTGTGTGTGAAGGCTTTCAATTACAGATTCAATTTCTTTGATATAAGAATATTCAGACTTTTATTTAAATATGTGGGATAAACCATGTGTTTCAAGGAATTTGTCCCTTTCATATTAACGTTCAAATGTATTGCTGTTAAGTTGCTCATAATATTCTCATACTACTGTTTTAAATGACTGTCCAGTTGTGCTGAGGTCACCTTTCCTATTTCATGAAATTCTTGTGTGTCTTCTCTTTATTTTCTTATCAGCTTTGCTAGGAATTTGTCAGTTTTATCTATCTATCTATCTTGACTATCATCTATCTATTTCAGTCTTTTCCAAACAAACAAACAAACAAACAAAGAAAAAAACCTGTGGCTTTATTGATTTTTCAGCATTGCACATTTTCCCCACATAATCAATTTGTGCTATGATCTTTATCATTGCCTTTATTCTACTTTCTTGGGTTTCTTTCACTATTCTGCTTCTAAGTTCTTGAGAAATGGCTGAACTAGTTTACAATTCCACCAACAGTGTAAAAGTGTTCCTATTTCTCCACATCCTCTCCAGCACCTGTTGTTTCCTGACTTTTTAATGATTGCCATTCTAACAGGTGTGAGATGGTATCTCATTGTGGTTTTGATTTGCATTTCTCTGATGGCCAGTGATGATGAACATTTTTTCATGTGTCTGTTGGCTGTATGAATGTCTTCTTTTGAGAAATATCTGTTCATATCCTTTGCCCACTTTTTGATGGGGTTGTTTGTTTTTTTCTTGTAAATTTGTTTGAGTTCTTTGTAGGTTCTGGATATTAGCCCTTTGTCAGATGAGTAGATTGCAAAAATTTTCTCCCATTCTGTAGGTTGCCTGTATGGCGATTCCTCAAGGATCTAGAACTAGATGTACCATATGACCCAGCCATCCCATTACTGGGTATATACCCAAAGGATTATAAATCATGGTGCTATAAAGACACACACACACATATGTTTATCGCGGCACTATTTATAATAGCAAAGACTTGGAATCAACCCAAATGTCCATCAGTGACAGACTGGATTAAGAAAATGTGGCACATATACACCATGGAATACTATGCAGCCATAAAAAAGGATGAGTTTGTGTCCTTTGTAGGGACATGGATGCAGCTGGAAACCATCATTCTTAGCAAACTATCACAAGAACAGAAAACCAAACACCACATGTTCTCACTCATAGGTGGGAACTGAACAATGAGATCACTTGGACTCGGGAAGGGGAACATCACACACTGGGGCCTATCATGGGGAGGAGGGAGGGGGGAGGGGGGAGGGATTGCATTGGGAGTTATACCTGATGTAAATGACGAGTTGATGGGTGCTGACGAGTTGATGGGTGCAGCACACCAACATGGCACAAGTATACATATGTAACAAACCTGCACATTATGCACATGTACCCTAGAACTTAAAGTATAATAATAATATTAATAAATTTTTTAAAAAATAAAAAAATAAAAATAAAATAAAATAAAAAATATTCCTGGTTATCTGTAAACATGTAACCAAACACCTTAACACTAAGTGGCTTAGAAAGACAACTTACTATTATTTTCTACGTGTCTGGGGATTCTCAGGTAATAATCAACTGGTTGGTGCTCATTTGGGGTCCCACAGAAGGTAGAAGTAAGGTGACAGCTAGCGGTAGACCTGCATGGAGACTTGTCATTCCCATGTTGGGATTTGGGCTGAGATGGTCGGAACATCTGGGTGGCTAGTCAGGTGTCTCCCTGTTTCTCCATGCAGCTCCTCACATGCCAAACTCCTGCTTTTCTCCTGCTTGGTGTCCTCAGGGTGGAGATATTTTACATGGTGGCTTACCTCCCCCAGGGAGACTATTACAGTAGACTTAAACAAAAGTTGAAAGGTTTCTTATGATCTAGCCTTGGAAGCCACATAGCCTGACTTCTTAGATTTTTGTTAGTTAAAGCAGTCACAGGCCAGCAGAGATTCTGGAAGGGTGAGGAATTCCTTCTCGCAATCAGGGAATTGAATACACTGTGTTCAAACAAGGAAAAAATTGATGCCAGCCTTGTTGAAAGAACACATCACACTCATATTTTCGTTTTCCTAAAAATAAAAGTATTAGCTGCTCACCACGGGTTTTAATGTTTCATTTTAATTACCATCGACGCAAATTATTTCCTAATCTACATAAATATTTCTTCTTTGGATTATTTTGAAGAATGTTTTGGGATTTTTTTAAACACATTTGAGGAATTTTCAATCATCTTGTTATGAAATGCTAGACTAATTCCATGGTGAACAAAGAATATACTCTGCATGATTTCAATTCTTTACAATTTGTTAGGACTTGCTTTATATTCCAGCACATGGTCAATTCTGTTTTTTTT